CCCAGGCCGCCTCCTGGGAGAGCTGCAGGCGCTGGCCTTGCTCAGCGAGCTCCAGGGCCTGGCCGTGGAGAAGGACCTGGAGCTCCGAAGGTATCCCGGGGGACCCTTCCCGCCCACGGGGTGCGCTGGGGCGGGCGGGGCCCTGCAGGGAGGCTGCCCGGGCATTTGCAGGGGCGCAGGCCGGCTGCAGGTAAGGGAGTGGCCAGCAGGTGTCGCCGTCGTCCGGGCCCAGACAACACTCTCAGTCTGTCCACCTGCGGCTCTGGGGTCGGCTCATTCCCGTCTCCGGCCCGCCCTGGCGTGGGTTCTGAGGTTGTGGGGGCGTGGGGTGCCGCGGGGATCAGAGCCAGACCCTGGGTTCCCAGAGCGTGGGGGCTGAGGGGGTTGGGCAGAGCACTACCCGCGCCGATGAGGGGCATGCAGGCGGCTGGCCGGGAGAGGAGGGCGGCAGCCCTGGCCCGTCCTCTGCGGGTCGCCGTCCTGTCCCGATCTGCTCATGCAGTTATCCGAGCCCGAGAGCTCCTGCCTGCCGGGCCAGCCCCAAATGCCCGCAGCACCAGGACTGGGCGGGACAGCAGACAAGAGCCCCATGGGAACCGCATCCGGGCCCCCACCCCCTGAGCCCTCACTGCCGCCCCCCGGCGGCCCATGGTCTGAGAGTCCGCTTGTTCTGGAAGGTTCCCGCGCGGTAAAGCCCAGGTGGCCTCCGTGTCCATGGGCTCTGCCACAGCAGCTTCAACCGGATCCGATCGCCAGTGTCCGCGAGGGGCTGGGCTTGGGTGCCCGCCCCCACATCAGTGCCCGCCCCGCCCCCACGTCCAGCTCCCTGCTTGGCCCCCTGGGGAGCAGCTGCGAGGACTCAAGTGCTCAGGTCCTGCCTGGATGCCCAGCGCTCTGGGCCACCCGCGGTGGGGGTCTCCGCCCCGCTGAGGGTCTGCCCGCGGTGAGGGTCTCCGCCCGTGCTGATGGTCTCGGCCCGCGGTGGGGGTCTCCGCCCCGCTGAGGGTCTGCGCCCGTTCTCTCCCAGCAGCTTCGCCCAGGTGCTGGAACTGTCGGCCGAGGCGAGCAAAGAGGCCGCCCTGCTGAACCAGGGCGCCTGGGAGGAAGCGCAGGGCCCGGCCAGCCGCTGGTACTTCCGCAAGGACGGCGCCCGCGGGGAGCGGCCCCTCTCCCAGGACCAGCCAGGGCCCCCGTGAGCCCGGCCGCCCCCGCCCGGAGCCCTGGCCTCGCCTGGGGTGCCCTGGACAGTTGAGCACTTTATCGGCTGCCGTTGGACCGTGTTGTTTGCCGCGTTGAAATAAAACTGTTCTGCACTGGAAGCGCGCGTTTTGTGGGTGAGCCCGGCTGGGCGGGGCGCGCTGTGTCCGGGTCCCCTGAGCTCCCGACCCCCGGTCATCACGGGCGGTGCCGCGTACCCGGAGTGCTGGAGACCGGGGCGCCCCAGATTTTAGACTTCCTCAGATTTCCCGAATGTTGGGTTACGGCAGGAGACAGCTGGGGATGGAGCGAGTGTAACCGTGCAGTTCCCTTGTTCAGTGTGCACCCAACAGCCTGCAGGCCGGCTTATTGCTGGTTCATTCCCCAAAGGGCTGCAGCGGCCAGGCCTAACCCAGGAGCCAGGAGCTCCACCTGGGTCTACCCTGAGAGTACCGGGGCCCAGGCATCTGGCCCATCCTCCACTGCTCTCCCAGGCCATAGGGGAGCTGGACCGGAAGTGGAGCGGTTTGGTCGTGGACCGGCACTGTGACACTGATGCCAGCGTCCCAGGTGGTGCCATGTGTCAGCTTCCTTCGTGCCATTCTGTACGATTTTGGCGTCACTGCGTGTGTGATCTCGGGGACACACCCCATTTATTTAATGTAGGTGGGCAGTAAGCGAGTCCCACGTGCGGCTTCTTTCTCCAGCCTCTGGGCTGGGGCGGGGGAGCAGGACGGCAGGCAGCACACAGAGGCTAAGACGCCCACACCCACAGCAGAGCATGTCGGGACTTGGGGTGGCCTGCTGGTGGGGGGCTGTGTGAGAAGGGGTCAGACAGGCCCCTGGGAGCACTGGGCACTGGGTCTCATCCAGCCCTGTGCTCGGTGACTGCATGTGGCAGAGGGTCTGTGTCCGTGACCCCCATGCTGGGGTGTGGAGCGACTCGGACCCAGGTCAGGGCGAGGACAGCGTCTGGGGTCCCCCAGCTGGTGTGCCTGGGACTCGGCCTGCTCCCTAGTTGTGGATGGGGGGGTTACAGACAATGCACCAGCTGCAGCGGCTCCTCCCTGCTCCTTCTCCTGGGGGCATCCAGATCCCAACTCTGCCCCCAGACCCCAGAGTGGACATCCCAAGGCTGCTGCTCCCTAAGGGCAGGGGCTGGCCCGCTCCCCCCCCCCAGCAGGTGCCAACCTCAGCCAGCCGCTCTCCTACCTCTGAGGATGCCAGCCCCCCCCCCCCCCGTGGGAGCCCACAGACTCCAGATGCTCCCGGGGTCTTGGCTGGCCTTGACCGTGGCCGTGGGACCAGACAGGCCCCATGTCCAGGCTGCAGGAGGGGGCTCAGGGAGGGAGCACCAGGGTCCGAGAGCCCCACGCCCCATCCTGCCTGTCAGGAACCCTGGGGAGGACCCTGCTCTGGGAGTGGCCACGGTGGGCAAGACCTCTTCCTGAGTGCCGGAGCACTCAGTTATCTTCCCCGCTGGGGCTGAGTAGAAGGGGAACGGGCCCGGGCCCGGGCCCGGGCCCGGGCCCACCCCCACCCCCACCCCCACCCCGCTGCAGCCCTCCACTCTGCATCCTCCTCCCGCATAGGAAACCCGAACTAGGAGCAGTGTTCGTAAGATCCTTGGAAAATGCACCCGAATTTATCACCCGAGAGGCAGAGAACACTGGCGCCTGTCCCCTGGGTCGCTCCCCAAAGGCCCACGATGGCTGACTGGGCCCGGATGTTGAAACTGAGAGTGCGTTCCAGGTCTCCCACGTGGGTGTCGGGGACCCAGCTACCTGAGACATCACCGCTGCCGCCCGTGGTCTCCGTGAGCAGAAGGCCCGAGTCGGGAGCCAGAGCCGGGAACGGAACCCGGCGCTCCTCGGTCGGCGTCTGAACCGTGCCGCGTGCCCGCTGCCACGCCCTGTGTTGACTCCAGGAGCCCCGCATCCGGCGTGGCGTGGGGGCGGCTTGCATCTGAGCTCGTCTCCCGTGGAAGTGCCTTCCAAGGCAGCGGTTTCACTCGTGTTTTTCTGTTCTTCCCTCTGCTTCTAAAAAAAAAAAGAATTATTTTATTTATTTGAAAGAGTTACAGGGTCTGGCGGGTTAACGCCCTGGCCTGCAGTGCTGGCATCCCATATGGGCGCCAGTTCTAGTCCTGGCTGCTCCACTTCTGAGCCAGCTCTCTGCTGTGGCCTGGGAAAGCAGTAGAAGATGGCCCAAGTGCTTGGGCCCCTTCCCCCATGTGGGAGACCCGGATGGAGCTCCTGGCTCCTGGCTTTGGATCAGCCCAGCTCCGGCCATCGCGGCCATTTGGGGAGTGAAACAGTGGATGGAAGACCTACCTATCTCTCCCTCTCTCTCTTCTCGCTCTCTCCTCTCTTAACTGCCTCTCAAAGAAATCTTCAAAAGAAAAATAAGAATTGACAGCGGACAGAGTGGCAAAAACCAGGTTTCTTTGTAGCAGTTCTTAGCGTGCCAGCAGAGTTCTGTGTTGGCCTGGGAAATCCAGCGTGTGAGCTCCCCCTGCCCCTCCCGGCGTCTCAGCCCCAGGCGAGCGCTGCTGTCTGTGGACTTGGAGCTGCCCTGCAACTCCGCTTCAGTTCTCCGTGTGCTCGGTGACTGCATGCGGCAGAGGGTCTGTGTCCGTGACCCCCACGCTGGAGCAGCGCCCTGACAGCTGAGGGGGCTCCTCCCCTGCTGTAGGCGGCGGTACCCGGGGTCCCCGTGCCTGCCCGCCCTCTGGGGCTGTGTCCCCGGGGTGCCGGCCTGCCCCCATCCCTTCTCTGGGCTCGCCCCGCGCTCCCAGCCCTCTGTGTCTTTGTACCTGCTGGGCCCTCTCCCAGGCAGCCCCTCTCTGGCTTCGCTGCCTGGCAAACCCCAACAACCGGCTCCTGTCCCCCTCAGGCAGCCCCGCCTGCGCCCCAGCTCCGTGCAGGGCTGGGCTGGGGTCTTTCGCATCAGCGCGGGGAGTCTGCAGGAGCCCAGACTTTGGAGTCAGGCAGTCGGGGGTTCTAACCTGTGCTGCTCCCACTCGCGCTGTGGGACCCGGGCGTGCAGCCCCGCCGCTCGGAGTTGGGGCTCGCGACGCCTACGCCGGATTCTGAGCGTTACAAAGTGCAACGAGAGAGGGAGGAGCCTAGAGCCTCCCTCCTCGGTACAACAGGTGAGGGTCAGAGGCGGTGCTTTCAAGTTCAGAGCAAGAAATTCCTAAGCGCAAATCACGGCAGAACGCCCCGCCCCTAGTAGCCCCGCCCCCGGGCAGGCCCCGCCCCCGGCCACCGCAGCCACGCCCATCCATGCACTGTTGATTGGCTGCCAGGTGGGCAGGGCCCGTGGGCCGCCCTGCGTCCATGGCAACCGGAACGCCGGCGCGCCGAGGCGCAGGGGAGCAGACCCGGGGTCGGAGCCCCGCGGCCCTCGAGCGCCGCCCCTCGCAGGTACCCCACGCGCGCGGGGACGGGGACCTGACCTGGGATGGGGGCGAGGGGATGGAGTGAGCTCGGAGCCGGCCTCCATGGTGGGCCTTCCCCCCCCGCCCCGACCCCGTGAGCTGGAGGTGAGGGGACCTTATCTCTGGCAGGCGATTGGGCGGAAATCCAGCGCCCTCTGCAGAAGTGGGGGGCACTCCGAGCCTTCCCAGCAGCCCTGCCCCACGCCCCCAAATGGGGTGTTCCACACCAGCCAGGAGCCGAAGGCAGAAAAGGAACAGCGGTTTGGCAGGGTGCACCTGTGTGGTTAGCGGTTCGGCCGAGTTCTTCGGCTACGTTGCCGGCTCCTGTCTAGGTCTGCTCCGTGCTCCATCTTGGCGGTGACCTCCGCTCTCCGTTTGGACGCTGCGGATTATCTTGGGCCTCCTGATGGAAAAAGACGCCCGGCCAATGCCGACTCAAGGGGCGGGGCTGCTCCCTTGGTCTTGAACCCTGTGGGTGCTTAGCTCATGGGGGTGCTTCCTCCAGAGGTGCTTGCCAACAAGATCTCTGAGTGACCGCACTCCCGGAGACCTTACAGGGACATCCCTTAGGCTGGCTATAAAATTGGAGGTTCGTGGGCGCCGGTTTGAGTCCCGGCTGCTCCACTTCTGACCCAGCTCTGAGCTAACGCGCCTGGGAAAGCAGAAGATGGACCATTGTTTAGGCCCCTGTGCCCACGTGGGAGACCCAGAAGAAGCTCCTGGCTTCTGCTGGAAGTATTTAGTAATTAAAAACTACTTGTGCTCAGATCACCTGGTAATTAAAACATCACAAAAAACCGCCTCTCAAATAATAACCATAAAATAGTAGCAAGCAGAGTTCAATCCTAAGAAGCGCGTGGTCCCTGGCACAGAGCAGGCTTTAGGTAAATTAAGTTCCCGGGCCCCCAGCCAGCAGCCACCTGGGACGTGGGCGGAGAGAACCCGGCTTCCTGGGACCTGCCTGGAGGTCTCTGGGAAGAGGCCCGGCTCAGCCAGTGCAGGGACCCCCAGGGGCCGGTGAGGGCGACCACAGGTGCTGGTGAGACCTGGCCTGGCCACTCACTGGCCCCGTGACCTGGGGCAGACAGACCACTCCCCAAGGGAAGAAAGGAGGAGGAGGAGGAGGTCAAGGGCAGGTCGGCTGTGGCCCCTGAGCTGTGTTTGTAAATAAAGGTTTATTGGCACACAGCCACACGCCATTTGTTCCCGTAATTGTCTGTAATTGTCCTGGTGCTACATCCGGGAGCTGAGTCATTGCAACAGACCTGCCCAGGGCTGGAAACAGACTTGCACGACCTCCGGGCTGGGTGACTCTCTCTTTATCATTATTATTATTTTTAATTTGAAAGGCAGAGAGGGACAGATTGGGAGAAGGCTCCCATGACTAGTTCAGTCCTCAAATGTAATGATCAGGGCTGGGCCAGGCCAAAGCTAGGAGCCAGGAGCTCCATCCAGGTCTCCCGCATCGGGGGTGGTGGGGGCAGGAGCCGGATTACCGGAGCTGTCACCTGCTGCCTCCCGGCGTCTCCCCTGGCAGGAAGCTGGAGTCGGGAGCAGAGGCCTGGCTGCTCCACTTCCGGTCCAGCTCCCTGCACTCGCGTGGGAGACCCGGATGGAGCTCCTGGCTTCAGCCTGAATCAGCAATGGCTGTTGCAACCATCAGAGGAGTGAACCAGCAGATGGACGATCTCTCTCTGCTTTTCAAAAATATTTTTTTATAAAAAGATTTATTTATGTATTTGAAAATCAGAGTTAGAAAGAGAGAGATTTTTCTAGCACTAGCCCATTCCCAAGATGCTAGCAGTGAAATCGGAGAGGACCCCCTAAAATTTACCCTGAAATGTGGCCCCTTAAAGTTCCCTAGAAATGCTATCCGGGGTGCCACGTGTGCTACCGGAATTTGGGGTGCCTTATGATTTCACCACAGGCTTGTTACCAAATCCCCAATATTAATAAGCCCAAGAGGGTTCCTTCCTAGTATTAGAGAAGAATTCTAAATACCGACACAGATAAACAAGGCAGCATGTTATGTTTTAAGCTTTTATTTAGTGAGAAAGATGCATAGGAGAGTGAGAGCTTTGTTTAAGAGAGAGAGAGGTGAATAGGGGTTCATACCGAGCACCAGGAACCAGCCACGTGGATGAGCATCTAGAAGGCCATGCACCCTGGAGGTGCGGGGCTACAGCAAGCCCTGTCCTGGCAAGAGGCCAGGGAAGAAGAGCAGGCGGGCCCATGCACACTGTGCCCTAGGCTTTTAACCCACTTCCCAAGGGGAGTGGTTAATTAACCTGATTGGCTGGTGGGCACCCCGGTGTGGCCAGGTAGGGGAATGAGGCCACGCAGGGGCGTGGCAAAGGCATCAGGTAGGAGCATGAGGTCACATGGGGGTGTGGTCTTCCAGTTCACGAATCTGATCAATTTTAACCTGTATGCCTGCCTACTGCAGCAGGAGCCCCGGCTTGGGCCAGGCTGAATCCAGAGGCCTGGAACTTAACCCCGTGTCTCCCACGTGGGCGGCCGGACCCGGTCCTTGGCCACCACTGCTGCCTCCCAGGGTCTGCGTTAGCAGGGAGCTGGAACGGAGCGGAAGAACCACAACCCAAACTCAGACAGTCCAGCCTGGGGTGCAGACATCCCAGGCGGTGGCTTACCGCTGCACCACGGCGCTGGCCTGGAAGTAGTATTTTTAAAGATCAAAATGAATACAGACAAAATCCAGGATGCAAAAAAATTCACAATTTTGGGGCCAGCACTGTGGCACCGCAGGTTAAACAGCTGCCTGCAGTACCAGCATCCCATAGGGGCACTGGTTCGAATCCCAGCACTCCACTTCTGATCCAGCTCCCTGCTGTGGCCTGGGAAAGCAGTAGAAGATGGCCCAAGTCCTTGGGCCCCTGCACCCGTGTAGGAGACCCAAAGAAAGCTCCTGGTTCCTGGCTTTGGATCTGCACAGCTCTGGCCATTGTGGCCATCTGGGGAGTGAACCAGCGGATGGAAGACTTTCTCTCTCTCTCTCTCTCTCTCTGCCTCTCCTCTCTGTGTAACTCTGACTTTCAAATAAATAAATAAATCTTTTTTTAAAAAGCACACAAAATTGTAGCTTATATGTATATGACTTTAAAAAAATGTTCCCTGGGAGGATGGAGTTGGGGGGCAGGATGGCTCTTGGGCTGAGAGCCCCAGGTTTGAATAGAACACATGGTACCTGGCCCCTGGAGGACTGGCCTCCCTATATGGGGCGGGGTTTGGCCCCTCTGTGTGCTCCTGGCCTGCCCTGCTGGGGCTGCGCATGGCTCCCAGCGCCCCCCCCCCCGGCCTCCCCGTGCACACCTGGGCCCCGGGCTCAGCTTACACGGAGGCCCCAGGGTACCCAGATGCTGGAGATGCCGACTGGTCCCTGGGCGTCAGGGCCCAGGGAAACCACGGTCGCTATGGCGACCACGGAGCTACCAGGGCGTGGCGCTGGGGAGAAAGTTCCCCAGTGAGTGCGCCCAGGGCATCGGCTGGGAAGCCACTGTCCCACACCTGTCCCCCTCCTCTCCGGCTGTTCAATTAAAGCCAGCGGCAGGGAGCAGCGGGCGTGTGACAAGGGTGCTCCACTGGCACATGGCCCCGCCCCGCTGGTCACCCAGCGCAGCCGCCTGAGATCCGTCCGCCCCAGGCCCTGGCGGGCTGGCAGCGTGAGCGCCGGCATGCTGAGTCCTGGCACCCGCCGGCGGCTCCTCCAGGGCCGGCCGGGTCCCCTGCCAGCGCCTCCGCCCAGCGGCGTGGCCATCTTCATCAGCTCCGTGCTGTCAGGTAAGGGGCAGGGCAGGGCTGGGGGCTCAGCACCCCCCACAGTGCGCACGGTGCCCAGGGACCCCAGGAGTCCCGGATGCGAGTGCAGGCCAGCTGGTGACCCATGAGGGCACCGGGGACAGGGAGCCACTCTGAACTTGCGTCTCTTCTTCCCCCACCCGAGCGCCCTGGCTGTTGCAGCCAATGGGGGAGCGAACCAGTGGATGGAAGCGCGCGCGCGCTCTCTCTCTCTCTGCCTCTCAAGAAATACAACCCTAAAGCAACTAAAAATCAAAAGAATGGGGCTAGCATTGTGCCCCAGCTGTTTAATCTGCAGCGTTCCACACCAGCATCCCGTATCAGAGCGCCGGTTCGAGTCCCGGCTCCTCCGCTTCCGATCCAGCTCCCGGCTAATGGGCCTGGCAAAGCAGCAGGTGACAACCCAAGTCCTTGGGCCCCTGCCACCCAGACCCAGATGGAGCTCCTGGCTTCGGCCTGGCCCAGCGCTGCCTGTTGTAGCCATTTTGGGAAATGAACCAGCAGTTGGAAGATTCTCTTTCTCTCCCTCTCCCTCTGCCTTTCAAATAAATACATCTGAAAAAATTCAAAAAAGGTGTTAATATTTGTAAACAGCCTCAAGAACACAGTTAACGATCACATGTTGTAAAATAATTTGGAAGCTCTGTTTTTGGTGTCCTCTGTTCCAATGTAAATTCAATTTTACTTTTAATTAAACATTTAAAATTATTTTTATTTATTCAAAAGGCAAAGAAAGGGAAGGCAGAGAAAGAGAGCTTGCCCACATACTGGCTCTCTCCCTAAATGACTACAACCGCTGGGGCTGGACCAGGGCCAAGCCAGGAGCCTGGAGCTCCATCCGGGTCTCCCACATGGGTGCAGGAGCCCAAGCATGTAGGCCATCTTCCACTGCTTTCCCAGGCCACAGCAGAGAGCTGGATTGGAAGTGGAGCAGCCGGGACTCGAACCGGCGCCCATATGGGCTGCCGGCACTGCAGGCAGCGGCTTTACCCACCGAGCCCCAGCACCGGGGACTCAGGCATCTTCCCCACCTGCCCAGGACGTGGGATTTTTCTATTAGGGTTAACACCAGGCGACCCTGCACGGGCGGGCTGTCTGGGTTTTGTTGCGTAAGAATTTCTCCTTCAGCGTGGGTATGTGCCTCATAGCTCAGGAAGTGGGGTGCAGGGCGCCCCTGGCTGAGCCGGCGCGCGCCGGGTTCTCCGCTAACCGCGCGCCCTCACCTGCAGACATGGAGGCTGAGAGGGAGTTCCTGCAGCGCAGCGCCTACCCCGAGCTGCGGATCTTCTGTCAGAAACATGGCCTGGTGTTTGAGGTAAGCGTCAGCGCTGCCCGCCGCCGGGGGTCTGCGGGACACCTGGGCCAAGAGGGGCGCCAGGCTCGGTTCTGTGATTCCTCGTCGAGGCTTGAAATTCATGCCAGGCTTTGGAGTGTTAGCTTGAGACGTACACACAGAGCCAGGAGCCGGAAGCTCCAGCCGGGTCTCCCGCGCAGGTGCAGGGGCCCAAGGACTTTCTCAGGCCACAGCAGAGAGCTGGGATGGGACATGGAGCAGCCTTGGGGGCCAAGCCTAAGCTAGGGGATGGGTGGTCCCGATCCAGATCCCTCCCCCCACCGCGGTGGGTGGCAGAGCCTCAGGTCCTGCAGCCATGACACCGCCTCCCGGGGTGCACAGGAGCCGGGGCTCAAACCCAGACCCCCCTGATGTGGGACGAGGACGTCCCCGCCCATGGAGGCACCTGCCCGGCCCTGGGTTCGAGGCTGCACGATGTGTGGAGATGCCACACTGGAGCAACAAGACAAAGCTATGCTGTGTGGGTGGGAACAGAGGGACACTGGCCTGTCATGTGGTCCCCTGACCAGACCCTGCCTGTCGCCTCCAGGCCGTTGATCTGCGGTGGGGCATCCGGGAACCAGAGGCCACGGCCCTCCTGACCCCCGACCTCTGCTTGGAGGAGCTCGGCAGATGCCAGCAAACATCCACAGGCCCAGCGTTCGTGGTGAGCCTCTTGGGAGGGTTGGGTCAGCTCTTACGCCTCCTCCCAGCACCCGGATGTGGGCCCTGCCCTGTCCCCACCCCCGCTGGCCCACAGCCACATGGATCAGCAGAGAGAACTGGGTGGTATTTCTGCTAACAGACCCATGCCTGCAGCCTGCCCGTGGCAGACATTGCTAATTGATCACACCACGCCTTTCCCAAAGAGCTAGCAGGGATCTAGACATGAGTAGTCAAACAGGAGGTGAGCAGGGCCTCGATCCAGGAAGGCAAAGGGTGGAAAAGTGACAGCTTTGTCCACGGGGCTCCGAGCAGCTCACTCTGAGGAGGACTCCCCTGCACCCTCTCCAGGAGTGGAGCTGGATGTAGGGGAGGGTGCTCTCCTTTTGGGGGATACTTCAAAAAATTTGTAGGACACTTAAATTTGACGGTGGGCATTGTGGCACAACGGGTTAAGCCGCCACTTCTGGTGCTGGCATCTTGTATGTGAGCAGCAGGTTCAAGTCCTGGTGGCTCCACTTGCGATCCAGCTCCCTGCTAATGCACCTGGGAAAGCAGTGGAGGATGGCCCGAGGACTGGGGTCCCTGCACCCACAGGGGAGACCTGGAGGGAGCTCCTGGCTTCGTCCTGAGCCCAGACCTGGCTGCTGTGACCCTCTGAGGAGTGAGCCAGCAGGTGCACGAGGCTCCCTTTTCTCTCTCTTTCACTCTGAGGTTCGTGAGCCTCTGCACCCCCGCTCCTAAGCCTCCATCATGATTTCCGGTCTTCTCAGCTTCATTTTCCCAAGAAACCTGGTGATCACTTCATTGAGTTTCCAAGAAAGGGAAATTGAAAAAAGAACCGGAAGTGAAAGAGAAAGAAGCAAGGAGCCAGGGCAGAGGAAGAACTCCGGGAGGAATTTCGGTTTTGCAGCCCGAGTGGCAGGGCAGCGAAAAGCGCAACCAGGCTTCCATAAGGCACCGGGCAGGGAGAGGATCCCACAGCCTCCCCCAGCCCCCAGCCCTGGGGAACCTTCCAGAAGGGCCCCAAGAATGGCTGACCCCCACTTCCTGTTTCCCTCTTAAGCCACGCATCACCCCTCTAGGCCAAGCAGCCACCGCCTTGCTGTCCTCCGTGGCTCTGAGGCAGGGGAGTGACCGTGAAAAGTCGAGATGCACTGGGGGCAGGGGGTGTCCATGGAGGCCCCCCCTGTGGTACATAAGTCCCACTCCGTGGTAAATAAGTCCCTCCCTGTGGTAAATAAGTCCCCATCTGCGGAAAATAAGTCATTAGGCAGCTCGGGGGCTGGGGACGGCGCCCCAGGGGCTGCCTCTTCTAGACTCCAGTCCCTTGGGCCACCAGCAATTCTGGCATACGCAGGGCTGCACCTGCTGGGAACTGCTTCAGTTTCTCCATTCTGCAAACCAGGGCATCAGGGGGAAAATATTTATTTCAAAGTCAGAGCAACAGGAGGAGGGGGTTAGAGAGGAGGGAGAGAGAGAGAAAAAAAGAGGGGTCTTCCATCTGCTGGTTCACTCCCCGAATGCCTGCCTGCAACAGCCAAGGCTGGGCCAAGCTGAAGCCAGGAGCCAGGAGCTCCGTCCGGGTCTGGGTGCAGGGGCCCCAGCACTCGGGCCCTCTCCCTCTGCTTTCCCAGGTGCACCGGCAGGGAGCGGGATCAGACAGGCACACAGGGCCTGACAGCTTTGCCGGCTGTTAATCAGCGGCCGCTGGAGGTCGTAGGCTGTCTGGGGCGTGATGGCCGTCCGACGCCCTGTGCTCTCCGTGGCCATGGTCACGTGCAGGTCCAGGTCTCACTGCCACCGTCCCTGGCCACTGCCGCCTCCTGCGCGGTCACAGAGCTGAGTCCAGACTTGACGCTGTGCTCCGGCTGTGCCAGGCCCTCCTAGGCAACCAGTACGGCCCCCGTCCCGTCCCCCGGTGCATGGAGGAGGAGGAGTGGGAAGCCCTGCGGTCCCAGCTGGCCCCCAGGCCGCGGGAGCTGGAGCTGCTAGCTCGCCACTTCCGAAAGGACGAGAACGCGGTCCCCGCCTCCTACGTCCTGCAGGTGCCCGGCGCCGAGGAGACCCGGGGGCCGGAGGAAGCCACCTTGGCGTCTGTCCTGTACGCGGGAGCCCAGGAGGCCTGGAGGCGGGGCCGCATCAGCGAGGAGCAGTGGCACCGCTACCACTGGTCAGGTGAGGCTGTGGGGACTCCTGGGAGGGGGGAGGTGCACATGAACTTGACCTTGATTGCAGAAATGTGGCCAAAGAACCCTGCCATAGCCTGCGTTTCAGTACATAGCCCAACCTGGCTGTGCTGGTGGAACCAATGTGGTGCTTAGGAACGGGTGTTCTGTGTGTGTGTGTGTGTGTGTGTGTGTTTTTAATTGATTTATTTATTTGAGAGGCAGAAAGAGAGAGAGAGAGAGGTCTTCCATCCGTTGGTTCACTCCCCAGTTGGCTGCAATGGCCGGAGCGGCGCCAATCTGAAGCCAGGAGCCTGAAGCCTCCTCTGGGTCTCCCACTGGGTGCAGGGGCCCAAGGACTTGGGACCATCCTCCACTGCTTTCCCAGGGTGCATCAGCAGGGGGCTGGGACTGGAACCCCGCCCCCACTGTGGGACGTGGGCATCGTGGCCCCCAGGCTGAGCAGGCAGGAGTCTGACGCCTGTCTGTGACTCAGCTCAGGCCCCGTCTCCGAGGACCCAGCTCGCTCAGCCGCAGTGAGCCAGAGCAGGTGCAGAAAATAACTCCTACAAGCTGAGGTTTCCAACCGGCGGCCTCCAAGGAGAGGTCGGCGTGGGCCTGCTGCTCTGGGAAGTGTGCTGGGGGCGGGGCTTGGCAGTCTCATCCAGCAGCCAGTTTCGGCCCACGGCCGTGCCAACCCCATTCTCAGAAGCACCTGAGTTCGGGGCCAGTGTCCTGGTGGGGGTTAAGCCATTGCCTGTGATACCAGCATCGCAAACAGGCCCTGGTTCGAGCCCCTGGCTGCTCCACTTCCCTTCCAGCTCCCTGCTAAGGCACCTGGGAAGGCAGCGGAAGGTGGCCCAAGTGCTGGGGCCCCCGCACCCACGTGGGAGACCCGGATGGAGCTCCTGGCTTCAGCCTCATCCAGCCCCAGCCATTGTGGCCATCTGGGGAGTAAACTAGTGGATGGAAGACCTCTCTCTCTCTCTCTCTCTCTCTCTCTCTAATTCCACTTTTCAAATAAATAAATGGAGAGAGAGAGAGAGAGGCAGGCATTGGTCTCCATCTCCCTGGGTTCTGGGCCTCCAAGTTCATTCTCGGCTCTTTCCTGCCTCCATGTCCAAGCAAAGGTTTCTCTGCGGCCGGCAATGCCCACCCACCCCGTGTGCCCGGGACAGCCCTGCTTGTCCTTCCATTATCCAGCTGGACAGGACTCCCCCTCCACCAGGCAGCGGACATTTCTGTGCTGTGCTCACTGCAGGATCTGCACTGCGGGAGACAGGGGCCAGCCCCCTGGGGGCTCTAAATGCTGAATAGGGGTGATGCCATGGCCAGGGACACTGACCGCCCCATGCTGGGGCACCAGTTCAAGTCCCGGCTGCTCCACTTCCCATCCAGCTCCCTGCTGATGCACCTGGGAAGCAGCAGATGGAGGACTCAGACTCGGGTCCCTGCAGCCATGTGAGAAGCCTGGACGGAGCTCCTGGCTCCTGGCTTTTGGCCTGACTCAGCCCAGGCCACTGTGGCCTTTTGGGGAATGAACCAGTGGAAGATCCCTCTCTCTCTCTCTATCTCTCTCACTGTATCTTTCAAGTAAATAAATCTTCTTTTAAAATACTGAATGAGGGGGCAGCGCTGTGGCGTAGCAGGTAAAGCCGCCGCCTGCAGTGCCAGCATCCCACATGGGCACCGGTTTGAGTCCCAGCTGCTCCACTTCTATCCAGCTCTCTGCTGTGGCCTGGGAAAGCAGCGGAGGATGGCCCAAGTCCTTGGGCCCCTGCACCCGGTGGGAGACCCAGAGGAGGCTCCAGGCTCCTGGCTTCAGATCAGTGCATCTCCGGCCATTGCGGCCAAGTGGGAATGAACCAGCAGATGGAAGACACCTCTCTCTCTCTCTCTCTCTCTCTCTCTCTCTCTCTGACTCTACCTCTCAAGTAAATAATCTCAAAAGCAATAGCGAATATGTGAGGGAAGCATTCCTAATTGAGAGCACTGTCTTTACTTTAAAACATTATTTATTTATTGGAAAGAGAGAGGAAGAGAGAGGTCTTCCATGTGCTGGTTCACTCCCCAAATGCCTGCAACAGCCAGGGTTGGAGCAGACTGAAGCCAGGAGCCAGGGGCTCCATCTGGGTCTCCCACACGGGCGCAGGGGCCCAAGGACCTGGGCCATCTTCCACTGCTTTCCCAGGCCACAGCAGGGAGCTGGGTCGGAAGTGGAGCAGCCAGGACTCGAACCGGCGTCCCTGCGGGATGCTGGTATCCTACGTGGAGGCTTAGGCTCAGCCACAGCGCTGCCCCTCCCCAACCCAGGATTCTCTGGGACTGGTCCCCTCCGCAGTCCCTGGAGTCCGGTAGAATGCAGATTCCAGGCTCCCGCCCCCGCTCTGTCCAGGCGACCTCTGGGAAGCGGTGTGAGCTGAGCGGAATCAAGCCCCCCCCCCCAAGGTGGCCTGGGGGTGCCCAGAAAGCTGAGGACCCAAGCCCCCCCCCCCGCGTCTCCCCCCCCCCCCCCCCCGCAGTCACTGCGTGGGAGCTGGAGCTGGGGCTTCTGCGCTCGGCGGCGGGAGCCCAGGGAGCCACCGTGTTCGTGCGAGAGATCGCGGACCTGCACCGGCACCTGCTGGAAGACTGCGCCGTGCCGACGGCGGACCGGCTCCCCGACGGCTGCCCGGACCTCGGCGCCCAAGCCCTTCTCAGCAGCCTCAAGGGTCGCGTCGCCGAGGCGCACCCCGACGCGCTCAGATCCCACCGCCTGCCCTGGAGCCGGGACCTGGGCACGCGCAAGAGCCGAGCCCACGCCCTCTACCTGCAGCAGCTGAGCGAGCAGTTCGTGGCCAGGGCCACCCACCAGGTGCTCCGGCACCTCCGCGAGCTGGAGGCGCCCGCCCCGCTCGGCTCGGCCTGGCTCTACCGGGAGATTTGCCACCACCTGCGGCAGAGCGCCGAGCTCACCCGCACCTTCCGCGGGCGCCGGGAGCTCCTGGCGCAGCTCGGGCGGCGGCTCAGCGACGACGACGGCCGCCCGCACCCGCCGCTGGTGCTCTGGGGGCCCCCGGGCGTGGGCAGCAGCGCCCTGATGTGCCGGCTGGCCGAGCGGATCTCGTCCGCGCCGGGGCTGCTGCCCTCCAGGACGGTGACCGTGCTGAGACTGCTAGGGACGTCTCCGCTGAGCCGGGACACCCGCGGCCTCCTCCCGAGCCTGTGTTTCCAGGTGTGCCTGGCCTACGGGCTGCCGCCGCCCCCGGCCCAGGTCCTGGCCGCCCACTGCAGGGTGGTCCAGTTTTTCCACGCCCTGCTCCACACCGTGTCCTGCAGAAACTTCGAGTCGCTGGTGCTCCTGCTGGATTCTGTGGATGACCTTGACCCTGGCCGCTGGCCACAGAGAATGCCCTGGCTGCCGGCCCGGTGCCCACCGAGGGTGCATCTCGTCCTCTCGGCCTGTTCAGGGCCAGGGGGCCGTTTGGAGAGCCTGAGGGAGACCCTCGGTGACCCAGACTCCTACTGGGAGGTGCAGCCCCTCTCTGGGAACCAGGGGCGGGAGATGATGGAGCTCCTGCTGACCACTGCGAACAGGACGCTGAGCCGGCCGCAGAGGGACCTGCTCTGGGCCAGCCTCCCCGAGTGCGGGCACCCGGGGCGCCTGAGGCTGGCCTTCGAGGAGGCCCGCCAGTGGGCGTCTTTCACCACGCCGGCCCCTCTGGCCGCCACGCCCGAGGAAGCCACGCACCAGCTCTGTGCCCGGCTGGAGCAGACGCATGGGCGGCTGCTAGTGGCCCATGTGCTGGGCTACATCATGTGCTCACGGTCAGTCTCTGACTTTTATGTTTATTATGATGTATTTGTTTTATCTGCAAGTCAGGATTACAGAGAGAGACAGACAGAGAGAGGTTTTCCATCTGCTGGTTCACTCCCCAGCTGGCTGCAATGGCCGGAGCTAGGCCAGGCTGAAGCCGGGAGCCAGGAGCTTCCTCCGAGTCTCCCATGCAGGTGCAGGGGCAAAAAGCACTTGGGCCGTCTTCCACTGCTTTCCCAGGCCATAGCAGAGAAAGCTGGATCGGAAGTGGAGCAGCTGGGACTTGAACCGGTGCCCATGTGGGATGCCTTCATTGCTGGTGGTGGCTCCACCCACTATGCCACAGGGCCGGCCCCCCAGCCCTTGATTTTTTTTTTTTTTTTTTGACAGGCAGAGTGGACAGTGAGAGAGAGAGACAGAGAGAAAGGTCTTCCTTTTCCATTGATTCACCCCCCAATGGCCGCTGCGGCCGGCGCACCGCGCTGATACGAAGGCAGGAGCCAGGTGCTTCTCCTGGTCTCCCATGGGGTGCAGGACCCAAGCACTTGGGCCATCCTCCACTGCCTTCCCTGGCCACAGCAGAGAGCTGGACTGGAAGAGGAGCAACCGGGACAGAATCCGGCACCCCAACCGGGACTAGAACCCGGGGTTCGGCGCCGCAGGTGGAGGATTAGTCTAGTGAGCCACAGTGCCGGCCAATTTTTTTTTTTTAATTATTAATTTGAGAGAGGGAGAGAGAAAGAGATCTTTCATCTGCTTGTTCCCGCGCCCCACCCCCCAATACACAATAGCTGGGACTGGGTTGAGCCAAGGCTAGAAGCTGGGGTCTCCCACGTGGGTGCAGAGACCCAAGGACTTGAGCTGGCACCTGCAGCCTGCCGGGGTGTGCGTGAGCAGGAAGCTGGAGCCAGGACCCAGAGCCGGAACGCAAACACAGACGTGCAGCTGTGGGCATGGACGGAGGTGCCCTGCCGACCCTGCTGCCGCTCAGCCGTGCAGAGCCTGGGGCAGAACGTGGGGCGGGGGCTGTGCTGAGTTTTTCCCCTTTCATCACCCCCTCCCCCAGGCCCGCCCTGGCACTTCACTCTCCCTGCCATGTGGGTGCCGTCCGCCCCCAGGGCATCACGGGCTGGCGGCTCGGTGGTCCTCCGTGCAGTGGGGAAGACGTTGAGAGCTCACAGGACTCCCCCCACCCCGGGTCTGAGCTCAGCAAACCTGGGCTCCCCTGAGCTGGGGAGGTGGGTGGTTCACGGCTCTGTGGGGGCGGGGGACCCTGAGCAGGTGTGGGCACTGGCCGGGCGCTGTCCAAGTGCTGACGTTCGGGCAGGACACTGCGGGTGGCTGCGTGTCTCTCTCTCTCTCTCTCTCTCAAATGCACAAGACCACAAGACCCAGACGTGGTCCCAAGTGCTCCCTGCCCCTCCCCCCCCAGGCACGGTCTCTCAGAGGCGGAGCTCAAGGACATCCTGTCCCTGGACGATGAAGTGCTGCAGGCCGTGTACCAGGAGTGGACCCCGCCCAGCAAGGAGCTGCTGCGTTTCCCGCCTCTGCTGTGGGTGCGGCTGCGGCGGGATCTGGGTCACTGCTTGGCCCGACGGCCGGGGGAAGGCTGCACGCTCCTGGCCATCGCCCACAGGTAAGCCCCTGTCTCAGCGTCTGGCTGGGACTCGGCACGTGCCTGCAACAGCCGGGGCTGAGCCAGGCTGGAGACAGGAGTCGGCAGCTCCTTCCAAGTCTCCCACATGGCTGCAGGGGCCCCAGCACTCGGGCCATCCTCTGCGGCTTTCCCAGGTGCATTAACCAGGAGCTGGATCAGAAGAGGAGCAGCCGGGACTCGAACCAGTGTCTGTATAGGATGCTGGCGCTGCAGGTGGAGGCTTAGCCTACTGAGCCACAGTGCTGGTCCTGTTTTTAACTTCTTGAATAGATGAATGTGTTTTCATGTGTTGAGTAAGTTAAGGAACAGATGAGCTAACTGAGAGATGAAACAGTGCCGAGATCCTGCAAGGCATCCCGTGGGCTCCATCCGAGCTCCCGGGAGCCCCAGGGCGGGGCAGGGGGAGGCATCGGCCACTCTCCTTCTCTGCAGACAACTAGCCCAGGTGATCCGCCAG